GCATCGCGGCACATGCCCGTCACCGGCAGGACCACAGGGCGGGGCCTGCGGCCTGGACGTCCTCGGAAGGACATCCGGGGAGGCCTGAGCCCAGGGCAAGGCCTTGGACGGGTTTAGGCCAGGAAGTGATCTGGCGTTTGGGTTCCAGGAGGATCGCTGCACGTCGGGTAGTGGATGGAGGGGCTGGTCGGGTGCTGGGAGGTGCTCATGGAAGCGGGAGGAGACGGGAGTGGTTCCCAGAAACAGGAGGGGAAACGGACCAGATTGGTGATGTGGTGACAGGAGGGTGATGAAAGAGAGGAAAAGACTGGTATCCAGACGTTCGGCCGGAGGAGGAGGGGTGTGGGGGTCACTCATTCTCACAGCTGCCGTCACAGCGTCACAAACCTGAGGCACGATCTGTCTTGCAGCCTGGAGGCCAGAAGCCCAAGGCTGGGTGTCAGCAGGGTGAGGGCGGGCCTGGCCCAGGCCCCTCCTGGGTGTGCAGACGCCCGTGGTCCCGCTGCACGGCTGTCTCCACACCTCGCCCACCTGTTAGGACGCTGGTCCCTGCTTCATCTCATTGTAACTTGATTCTCTCCCAAAGACCCACCTCCAGACAGGTCACACTCGTGTTCTTCTGTCTGCGCCGGCCTCAGACTGCCTGGCGCGCCCAGTTCTCTTCAAGTCAGCTTTTTAGCTGAAGAGTGACGAACGCATCACGTGTCCTGCAAGGTCTTCGCTGCGTGTAGACAGCAGGGTGGCCGCGGCCCGGAGGAAGAAACAACGTGACAAGCCCCCAGGAGCCCCCGCCCGATGTCTCCAGGCCGTCAGCTGTACCTGCGTTTGGACTGTGCACGGACGGGCCGCACCTGGGAGCTCCATGTCTGACCTGCTGCGCGGGGTTAGCTCGTGGGTGGAGCTCCGCCGGGTGCGGGTATCATGGTTTACCGTGTGCCTGTGGATAGACTGCGCACTGACCGCCCTCCCTGCCCCCGTCCCTGGGCTTGCCACCTCCCAGCGCTTCCCCGCGAGGCGGGGGCATTCCCTGCCCGCCTCCGGCCGTCGGACGTGCTTCGGCTGAAAGGAAGTGAGCAGGAGGGACGCAGACGGCCGTGGAAAAGTGCACTACTAGCTGCGAATCCACCGTCGCCACAGGCAGGCTCGTGCAGGCTGGTCCTCAGGGGGACGAGACGCGTGAGGCCGGGGTCTCGCTGGCAGACGTTTAATTCCCCGGGTGTGGTCATTACGGTAGTGCTGACACGGACGTTCCTGAACGTGCCTGTCGGTGCACACGTCTGCGGTGTCCCAGGTTGCTCAGTGTTTTAGCATTTAACAGGAAGGTTCTCCCGCAACTTCCTTTAACAGTTTCACTGTGAAAACACACCCTACCCCCTGAGTAGAGGTAACGTCTGTTTGCTCTTGGTTTCACCCAGGCCTCTGGAGAGAGTCATGCTCGCAGATAAACCATCCTGAGGCAGCTGTGGCGAATCACCGCTCCCTGCCGCGCGCGGCTGCCGCCCTTGGCCTCGTGGGGCTGGCGGGGCGGCCGTGGAGCATGGCCGCGCCTCTGCCTGTGCGGGCGAACCAGGGGGCCAAGTGTCACGCGTGCCCCTGACGACCGTTCGGCGCCACATCGTCCCGTGAGCGGGGCCTTCCTGAAGCTCTGCCTCGCACCCCTGGCCCGTCGGCCTGACTGACAAGCCGGCCATCCAGGCCCTCCGGCCAGGCGGGCAGTGCAGGCTCAGGTTGGACTGACGTGGCCGTGAACGATGCTCCACGGTGGAGAGCGGACCCGATGCAGAGTAGCTGCGTGTGGCTCACGGCCCGGGTGCGGCTGAGGCGGCCGCGGCAGGCCTGCAGCTCTCGGGAGGTGAGATGTATTCCAGGGGTAAATGATCCTCGCATTTCATTTTGCAGGATGTCAGCAGGGGCACCAGCAAACTGACCTTGAGGAAAGTTTTGCACACAAAGAGCAACCGGCTTGTTCTGCGGCGGCTGCCAGGAGATAGTGAGGGTGGGCAGCCGCGGGAAGGCGCGTCTGTCCTCTCTGAGCGCCGGAGCTGCGTCCTCAGAGGGTCTT